TCCCTCCCTCCCTCTCTAAAAATCAATGGAAAAATATTCTTGGGTGAGGAATAGCAACAACAGAAAAAAGGGAAAAAACTTTAACAGAAACACAGTTCAGCACTGAGCAGCGAGGAGAGACCCTGGCCAGGGATCGGAGCAGAGGGGAGATGTTGTGGGGAGAGGTGTCGTGGGGCCCCAGGGAGGGGTATGGACCCCCGAGGTGGAAACGGGGAGCAGCTTCTGGCCTCCTGGATTGGAGAAACCTTCACTTTTTTACCAACCAGGCTGGCTGTGCAGGTGTGAGCAGCGGAGTCATAGAGGCAGACTCTTTAGAGGCTTTAGGAGACCGAGGGCCCTGTTCTGGGCAGGGGTTAGAGAAGCGCCTGGTGGAGGGAGTGAGCTCTTGTCACCAGGAGGTCCTGGGCTCTGGGAGTGTCCCTTAGAGGACCGGTGCCACCTCTTTCCCCAGAGTGCCCAAGGCTGGAGCAGGACATTGTCTTCCTGATTGATGGCTCAGGCAGCATCTCCGACGCCGATTTTGTCAAGATGCTGACCTTCGTGAAGGCTGTGATGAGCCAGTTCCAGAGACCCAGCGCCCAGGTGTGCCCGCGGGGCAGGGAAGGCGAGTGCGCGGCCCCCGGGGGGGCTTGCGGTGGGCGCTGGGGTGCTGGTGGGGCGGCCGGCACCAGCCCCGCGCCTTCTCCCAGTTCTCCCTGATGCAGTTCTCCAGCAAGTTCAAGATTCACTTCACGTTCAGAGACTTCGCGCGCAGCTCAGACCCGCCGCGCCTGCTGAACTCTGTGCACAAGCTGGGAGGGTCCACGCGCACGGCCACAGCCATCCTGATGGTCATGTGAGTCCTCACTCCCCCAGGTCCTCAACCATCTCCATGACAAAGGGACAGAGGGGACTGAAATCCCACCATGGTCTCCTCGCCAAGCTGGGGGGCTCTGGGCAGGACCAGGGCCTCCCAGAGGAAGGGTCACCTCATTGTCACAAAGGCATCAGGGGCTGGAAGCAGCTCTGTTCAGGGGCCCATGGACCCTCTTCTTCCCTGACAGAAACCAGCTGTTCAGTGCCCAAAATGGGGCCCGAAAGGGTGCCTCCAAGATCCTCATTGTCATCACCGACGGGCAGAAAATGGGCGACCGCCTGGACTACAAGGATGTCATCCCCTGGGCTGAGGCAGCGGGCATCCTCCGCTACGCGGTCGGGGTAGGATGTGGGTGCCCGCCCTCTGCTTCCTCCTAAGGCGACTTCCCTTTCGAGGACAGAAGCCCCAGCTCTCTGGGCCTCTACCACTTTCAGGATGAAACCTGATTTCCCCCCTGGGAGCCAGGTCCTTCTCCCTAAACTCCCTGATGTGTCCTGAGCCTCGTTTCTCTCCCGCACACTGGGCGTAATGACACTCACCTTGCAGTGCTCCTGGAGGACCTCGGCGCCCGGGACTTGGCGGGCACCTTACACCTGTGATTGTTTCACTGAGTGGGCTTTCATTGGGGACAGGTGGGAGAGGCTTTTCAAAACCAACACTCCTGGATAGAATTGAACAACATCGCATCGACGCCCTCCCATGAATATATATTTAGAGTGGAGAACTTTGATGCTTTGAGAGACATTCAGAAGCAACTGAAAGAGAAGATCTTTGCTATTGAGGGTAAGTCAGAGGTGGAACTCCTCACTTCAGAGACCCTCACTCATGAGCCTTTCCCCCTGGAACCTGGACCTCCAGGTCACGGGCCCTGACCCCTCCCTTTGGGTATAGTCTCCACCATCAGATCCTGTTGGGGCTAAGGTGTCCTCGGACCTGGCAAAGCCTCTCTTTCCCTGCTTCCCCAGGTACGCAGACCGTAAGCAACAGTTTCTTCGAATTTGAGATGTCCCAGGAGGGCTTCAGCGCTGTGCTCACACCTGTGAGTGGGGGTCCTTTCGGGCCACTGATGTAGGACCAGGGAAGGCAGGGAGGAGGGAAGGCGAGGGTGAGCGTCATGAGTGGAGGTGGGCTGGGGTCGCCTTGGAATTGCCGGCTCTCCTCGCTCCCCCTGCTCAGCCCCAGAATCCTTTCTTCCCAGGATGGGCCAGTTCTGGGTGCTGTGGGGAGCTTCAGCTGGTCTGGAGGTGCCTTCATGTACCCCCCGAATATGAGCCCCACCTTCATCAACATGTCTCAGGAGAATGTGGACATGAGGGACTCTTACCTGGGTGAGACAAGGCTTTGGCTGTGAGGCAGGCGGGAGTGAGCTGCCTGGGAGGGAGGCAGGAGGGGGAGCCTTTGTGCTGAGGCCAAGTCCCCTCAGGCTACTCCACCGAGCTGGCCCTTTGGAAGGGGGTGCAGAGCCTGGTCCTGGGGGCCCCCCGCCATCAGCACACCGGGAAGGTTGTCATCTTCACCCAGGCTTCTGGGCAGTGGAAGCCAAAGGCTGAAGTCACAGGGACCCAGGTTGGGTGTGGAGGACCATGAGGGTGGCAGGGTCTCCAGGGGTGGACAGGGAGGAGATGAAGGGGTTTGGGACTTGTGGGGAGAGGTGCTGGTGCCCGGGGAGAGGCAGGACCTGGCCCAGAGGGGGTGCCCCTGTGGCAAGGCAGGCAGGGTGACTTCAGGCTCTACCCTCCAGGTTGGCTCCTACTTCGGGGCCTCTCTCTGCTCCGTGGATGTGGACAGAGATGGCAGCTCTGACCTGGTCCTCATCGGGGCTCCCCATTACTACGAACCGACCCAGGGGGGCCAGGTGTCTGTGTGCCCCTTGCCCCGGGGGGTGAGTGGCTGATGAGACCTGGGCTGGGGGGGGCCTGGGTGTGGGGTGGACGGGTTGTCCGGGTTGGGGACTGGCACTGTTTTTATTCTGCAGAGGGCTAGGTGGCAGTGTGAGGTCATTCTCCGTGGGGAGCAGGGCCACCCCTGGGGCCGCTTTGGGGCAGCCCTGACCATTCTGGGGGACGTGAATGGGGACAAGCTGACAGATGTGGCCATCGGGGCCCCGGGAGAACAGGAGAACCAGGGTGCTGTCTACCTATTTCACGGAACCTCAGGGCTGGGCATCAGCCCCTCCCACAGCCAGGTGAGATAAACAAAATGTGGTGTAGCATATAATGGAATATTTATTCGGCCATAAAAGGAAATGAGGGGCTGACACATGCTACAATATGAATAAACCTTGAAAACATTATGCTGAGTGAAAGAAGCAGACACCGAGGCCACAGATTGTGTGATTCATTTATATTAGCTCTTCAGAATAGGAAAATCCAGAGATAGACGTAGAGGAGTGGCTGTCTGGGGCTGGCGGAGAGAAACGAGGGACATAGGGGTGACTGTGAAGGAGAACAGGGTTTCTTTTTGGGGTGGTGAAAATGTTCTAAAATTGATTGGTTGATGGTTGCAGAACTGTGAACATCCTAAAAAACTCTGAGTTGTATACTTTAAAAGTACGGTATGTGAATTATGTCTCAAAAAGTTGTCAGGAAACAAAAGTCAAAGGAGATCTCCAAAGTCCTGTCAGTTCCCAGCGGCATGATCTTGGTCATTCCTTACCTGTCTCGCTGTTTCCTCACCTGTACGAGGCCGTGATAATAAACCAGCTGTCCCAGGTGCTGCTGCGAGGGTTAGATGAGTTAGTACACACATGTGCGGATAGAACATACATAGCACACATATAGCTGCGTGCCTGGAGCATCCTAGGTGTTACATTGTAATCACGTCCTGTTGCAGTTTAACAAGTGAAGGGGTTTCAAACATCTTGGAGCTTTAAGAAGAGGGTGAAGGGCTCTGCTGAGAATCATGAGTCTGTCCACCCGTTGCCACAAAACTCCCTTTCTCTCTCTCTAGTCACCATTGCCCCACCCACCTCCTCTTTTTAGGCCCTTCTTGATGGCATCTTTTCACCCTGCACCCCGCCTGTCCCCCACATTCCTACCTCCCCGTTTCTGCTGTTGCTCATTTCCGACTTGTTTCTCTCACCCCCCCCGCTGGCTTGCCTTGCCCTCTGTGGCCAGCGGGTCGCAGGATCCCAGTTCTCCCCCAGGCTCCAGCATTTCGGGCAGTCGCTGAGCGGGGGTCAGGATCTCACCATGGACGGACTTGTGGACCTGGCCGTAGGGGCCCAGGGGCACGCGCTGCTGCTCAGGTGAGAACAGCCTCCCCCAGACACTCCCCAGAAGGTCCCTAGGTCTACCTAGGACACCAGTCTCCCCACCCTCATCCCGTGTTGCCCTCCTGGGACCAAGGGCTTGTCCTCAGCTCAGCCTTCTGCCCGCAGGACCAGACCTGTGCTCAGGGTGCGGGTGAACATCCGCACAACATTTACAGAGATTGCTAGGTCTCTGTTCCAGTGCCAGGAGCACACGGCCTCCGTCCAGGAGCTGGGTGATGCCAATGTCTGCCTTCATGTTCATGAGAGTCCCAAGAACCGGCTGAGTGAGTCCTCTCTGACCCAGGTCAACCTGATCCCTGGAGTCTTCCAGCTCAAGACTCCTGTCTCCATCCCCTACTCTCCCCTATAGGTAACCTCCAAAGCACTGTGACCTTTGACTTGACCCTTGACCCTGGCCGCCTGAATCCCAGAGCCATCTTCAAGGAGACGAACACTCGGCATCTGACTCGGGTCAGAGATCTTGGGCTGAGACAGCACTGCGAGGCTGTGAAGCTGCTGCTCCCGGTGAGGGGTCTTGGAGTCCTGGGGTGGGGGAGGCTCTGAGGCTGGCAGCCGGCCGGCAGGGAAGAGCCAGGTGTGCTCTGTCCTCGCACCTTGTGCGGGAGGGGCTTACCGTTTGTTAGCCAGATGAGCGAGTGGATTAGCGGGTGCGTGAATGAATGAACAGATGGGTTGGCTGCAAGGGCCAGAAATTACACAGCTGGATTTCAGAAAAGAGTGTGGCTGCCTCAGAGAACTACAGAGCCCTGGGCTGGGATTCTTGCATCGAGCCGGTTCTCTGAGACAGACCCTGTCCTAGGTGCCAGGGACACAGCAGCGGACAAAACAGTCCATGCCCCAAGGGAGAGCTGGGGAAGGAGCAAAAACAGTCAGGCTCCTAGATAACAGGTCAGGAAGTGATGAGTGCTACGAAGAAGGGTAAAGCCAGGGAGGGGCCGGAGGGGGTCCTGAGGCCTCTCCGAGCGGGTGAAGTTTGAGACAAGTGGGCCTGTGAGAGGCTGGGGGAAGGGAGATCAAGGCGGAGGGCAAGCACAGCGGAGGATTCTCAAGGCAGCATCTTAGCAATGAGTGTTTAACGAGTGCAGGCAGGCACCACTGTTAACCCATTTCACAGACGAGGAGACGGGACACAGCTAGCGAGGGGGCCTTCCTCAGCCACCGCTCTCTTCAATGTCCGCCTCCTAGGCTTGTGTGGAGGACTCAGCGACCCCCATCAATTTGCGTCTCAATTTCTCCCTGGTGGGCAGCCCCATCCCTTCCTTTGGAAACCTGCAGCCTATGCTGGCTCCCGACGCCCCCAGATACTTCATGGCCTCTGTGAGTCTTGGTGTTGGGTTCCTCAGGACGGAGTGGAGGTGTGGACTCCAGACCTTGGAGAAAACCCAACTTTGACTTCCCTCTCAGCTCCCCTTTGAGAAGAACTGTGGAGCTGACCATGTCTGCCAGGATGACCTTGGCATCTCCTTTGGCTTCTCAGGGTGAGCTTCCACCTCCTTAGACCTGCCTTGGTCTCCCAGCCTCTCTCCTGGAACCTAGAGCTCCTTCCCGGCCCTCCCTAACATTTCCATCCTGTGCTCAGAAACTAGACATCCTATTCCCCATGTCTCCCCACCTCTCCACTCTGTGTTTCATCCCCCGACATGACCCCAATCACAGAATCATCTCCTGCCCTCTTCCCCAACACCTAGCTTGAAGACCCTGCTGGTGGGTAGTAACCTGGAGCTGAGCATGGAAGTGAAAGTGTGGAATGATGGTGAGGACTCCTATGGGACCACAGTCACCTTCTCCTACCCACCAGGGTTGTCTTATCGACGTGTGACAGTGACCCAGGTACTATTTCCTCTGGGGAAGGAAGTGACTAATGGCTGGGGATCAGCAGAGACTCCTGTGCTGGGTTCAAAGCTCAGGTTGGGGCTGCCATTGCTTAGCAGGAGGTCTGGGCTGATCATGGTTGGATAGCTATGGCTGGGCTATCTGGAGCCTGCTCATGTTGTGTTCAACTCTGGGCATCACAGTTTAAGTACATTGACTATTAGGAATGAGTTCTCAGGAGGTTGCTAATGTGGAGAGAGAGGGGACTCTGCCTTAAATTTCTTTGTATTCCACATCATATCAATATTCTTCTTTTAAAGGAAAACATATCTTGGCCTTCAAATATTTAAAAACACTGTCCTGTAAAAGGAGGAGTTGAATTTATTGGTTACTGTAGATCAAGTCTTGGCATGCTTTTTCTAAGAAAGGCTAGAAAACAAATATTTCAGCCTTGTGAGCCGTACAGTGTCTGTCACATCTACTCAGCTCTGCTGGTATAGAGTGAAAGCAGCCATTGACAATATGTAAGTGAATGAGCATGGTTGTGTGCCAATAAAACTTTATCTATAAAAATTGGTGGTAGGCTATCGTTTGGGCAATACCTGTTCTAGAAGACAGAACTAAGACCATGGGAGTTAAAGTGAAACAGATTTTCAACAAAAATTTTATGAAAAATGTTAAACGTTCACAAAAGTAGAGAGTAGATCAACAAACCTCTCAAACACTCATCAACAATTCAACAATTATCCACATTTTGCTACTTTATTTCATCTGGCTTCCCGCCCTCCAACCCCCACTCTTTGCTGAAGTATTTTGAGATAAATCTCAGACATCATGTCACTCCTCCCTATTTCACCCTACAATTCTGGATAGTCCCCACATCCTACATGACCCAATGCTATTATCATACCCAAGGAAATGAATGATTCCTTGGTATTTAGACCATAATGAAATTTTCTTAACTGTCTCAAAAATATCTTTTTACACCTGATTTAGATGAACCATCATCTAAACTAGGTCTACACATTACATTTGGTTGGTTGGACTCTCATGTCTCACGCTAATATTCCCAATGGGATCATATTTGATTACTATTTGAAGGAACACACTAGAAATGGCAAGATCCAGCTGCACTAGGGGTGAGCGCCTGGTCATTGAAAGTACTTCTAGACACATCAACCAAACGCAATATGTGGACCTTTGTTATATATCTATTTTAAAAATGAGCTGTAAAATAATACTTTCGGAGACAATGTAGGAAGACTGAACATGACCTGGATATTAGCTGATATTAAGGAGTTATTGCTAATTTTGCTGGGCATGATTTGTTGAGTCTCACTGTTATGTTAAAATATGCCCTTATCTGTTGGTGGTACACAGTGAAGTATTTCTGGATGAAACAATATGATATTTGGAATGTGCTTTAAATTATCCAGAAAAAAGAAGTGGAGAGCAGCTGAATCAAACAAAAGTGGAAAAATGTTGGCAATTTAAGCCGAGTGATGGGTACATGGGGCTTGATTTAGCTAGTCTCTCTACTTTTGAGTATGTTTGAAATTTTCTATAACAGAAAACCTTTAAAAAATAACCATAAACAAAAAAGAGGAAAGCTTTAATAAATCTGGGAAGTCTACATTAGGAAAAAGTTTGACCAGGATAGTGTCTGAGGATTTTTTTTTAAAAAAACAGAACCTTAGGGTAGATTCCGGGAAACTGTCACTACTTTATGGAGTCTCTGAGACACTAACAAATGTTCACCTGCCCTTGCTTAGAGCCATCTGCTGTCACGCTCCCTGCACCTGGCCTGTGACAGTGCCACAGACGGCAGCCAGGACACCTGGAGCACCAGCTGCAGCATCAAATACGTGATCTTCGGGGAGGGCGCTCGGGTCAGCTTTACCCCCTGCTTCCCGGCCCCACCCGGCCCCACTGCTCCGTGACTTC